GAGGGGGTGCTCCCGCCTGAGATTTTTTCGCAATTCACTCACAGATGAGACCCCGTCTTGGTCGATGGTCATGGTGGCATGGTGATAGTGATGAATGTGTGACGATAGCGATGGTAATGGTGAGTTTGCGATCGTGACGCTGATGAGGAGGTGTGCGAATCTGATGGTGATGATGACGATGATGATGATGATGATGATGATGATGATGATGATGATGATGATGATGATGATGATGATGATGATGCGTGTGAGAGAGAGAGAGAGAGAGAGAGAGAGTTGCCGATGATTATGAGTGAGCGTGTGTGCTGATGACGATGATGATGGTGTGTGAATGTGTGGGGAGGAGAGCGGGTGAGGAGAAAGAGGAGGACTGCGCGGAGGTGTGCAGGGAAAGCAAGAACCCCATTTAGGATGTGGGGCGACTCATTGATTTTCTAAAAAGGTTTTGGACAGATTTTGGCCTCTTCGGGGCGTCCCTGGGGAGCTCTTTGGCCACTTGGAGCCGGCTTGGAGCGGTCTTGGAGCATCTTGAAGCATTTTGGGAGCCATCTTGAGGCATCTTGGGATATCTTGAGTCATCTTGGAGCTCATCTTGGGCTCTCCGAGGCGCTCTTGGGGCCATCATGGGCCATCTTGGGCGCTCCAACCCCTCGCACGACCCCCCGTCCAGGTCCAGGGGAGGGTGTAGGGGGAGGTGTCAAGACACCCTCCAGATAGCAAGCCGTTTAGCTCACTCCCACCCGTCCTCCCAACACATAATCAACACCCGAGCCTCAGCATGTTCAGCGATGGTCTTTGGATGGGCAGCTACTGGGAACCAAAACCGAGCCCATGTGCGCGACGCTGGGGCGAGGCGCGCCACGCGTGCCAGGCGGGCCACGCGCGCCATGTACCCCTGGGGCCCGAGCGTACCAGGCACGCTTGGTGCGCCAGATGCGCCACGTGCCTCTGCGTGCGCCAGGTGTGCCGCACACTTCAGCCGCGCCAGGTGCGCCACGTTCGGGGCACGTGCAGAGTGTGTGTGTCAGGTGCGCCTGCGCACGTGACAGCACGCATCAGGAAACATGTGGGCCCCAAACATCCAATGCCCATCATTGTGTCTGGTGGGCCTGTGCACAGCAGGCAGGCCATACGCCACCACCCCCGCCGTCCCTGTCAAAAACCACTTGACAATGATCGCGGGGTGGCCGCGCATGATCCAGATTTAGCAGCGAAGTGCATTTTGTAGTGTGTATTGTCAGGGATGGTAGCCCTGCGCGGAGCAGGCAATATGCTGACACCCCCGCCGTCCCTGTCACAAACAATACAAAGTGCTCGCGGGCCTCACGAACATGACTCAAGACTTTGCCGTATGGTGGGGGCGGCCGAATCGGGTTATTTGCGAATGCTCCGAATTTGGAGGCAGAGTGCGTTTTGTATTGTTTTTGACAGGAATGGTGGGGGGGGTGGGGTGAGCGTGGTTCCTGGTTGGCTGCCGGTCGCCTGGGGGAGGGGATGTAGTTTAATATGGCGCAGCGATACGCCTCTCCCCGAAGGTGAAGCGGGGCAGATGGAAGGCAAAACACCCTAGACCACCCACGCCCTAAAGTGCCAGTGGGATTCCGCAGCCACCTTGGCTCGCAGCGGAGTCGGACCGACCCTGGCTGGTCGGTGGAGGCGCGCGTCCGCGCCTCTGGCGGCAGTTCCCTGCCACCTTTGGCTGCCGGCGGTCCGTCAGGGTGCCCAGGGGATGAAGTACAGGTTCGACCTCTACGTCGGGTGCTCGATCTCGCGCTCGCTCGCCGATCCCTGAGATCCTGGCGTTGCCACTTTTCACATGGGACGTTTTCGCCCAGTTTCGGGCCGAGGGACCATCACAGATCGTTCCGTCTCGGAAAGTGCAGCAGGACGATGGGGTCCAGGGCTCCAATCGTGGATCCGTCACTTTGCGACAGGAAATGCGACATAAACATACACTTTTGGAGCCCCGCGCCAATTTCTTGGATCGGCGCTGGCCCCCCCTGGCGGCTCCTCCAGCGCCGCCACTGGCGCGCTCCGCGCGCCAGGTACGGGGATTTAGCGCCGATCCGAGAAATCCGCCCGGTCCTCCGAAGGCTTACACGTATGCAGTTTCTTGTTCCTCAGTTCCTCTACGCTCGCCGGTTGTGGCTCTGTCACTGGTCGTGGACTGCTGGTCCGTGGGTCGATCGGCAACGGGGCGGTCGACCATGTTCTAGATCCACGGCGTGCTCTGCGGGTTTCGGGGTGGATCGGGCCCAGCGGGCGATGATCGGGCTGAGGCCCTGGATCGGTCCAGATCGGGAGGGAGGCCTCCGAGGTCAGGTACACCGTCGAGGTAGACCTTCCAGGCCACCTCGGCACGTACGAGGCCCTGCAGCGCCAGCTGAACACGACCTTCCAGCACATCCTGCGGGAGTATATCCCCAACCTGGACGTGTACGGCTGTAGCGCGCCGCCTTCGGCCGCCTTCCAGCGTGGTCTAGCCGTACCCATCCGCGGC